GAAACACGACCGATGAAAGAGGTTGTTCATCAAGCCATTTCATGATATCAGAGTTCTGATGTGCACCACTTTCACTCATGAGATTCAAAATTGGTCCCACCGGATAAACAGCCGGGTATTTACCATCAGAAAGGGAGTCGACCGCATGGGATTCAAGCTCCGAAAATGTATTTACCATGAGACCCTTGACTTCCCTAAGCTCCTTTGCCCCCTTGAGGAGCACAGTCAAAGTTTCGGGCTTGAACATTAGGGCAGGAAAGAATTTAGCAGAAACTGGGTTGACATAGGAGGGTATGGTGAACTCAGCGTCCGAGCCTTTTAACTTGGTGATGTCAACGTTTTGCTTATCACGAAGAGCTTGCATATAAAATTGGAAGCCAAGAAAAGCTGCACTCGAGGTGTAAAAAACATAGCTAGCAACACCAAATTCGTTAGCCAAATCTACCAAGGCAGTAAAAAACATGTCGAGAACGAACCCGGCGAGTCGAGGTGAGTCGGGCACTAAGCTGGAGTACTGAACTATTTTGGCGACGGCCTCTTTTATGTGGGGCCTCTGGCTTTGAATTATAGTGGTCATGAACTTGTTGGGAGGAATACCTTTTTGGGTTTCATCTTGAGGGAGGTTGATAAATTTGATGCGAGTGGAGATGGTATCAGTATCAGTAATGAGAGAGTCGATGTAGGCTGTTAGATTTGGGTCGTAAGGTGGCTTGATGATGAGGACGGTGATGGAGAGATTGGAATTGAGAGCCACCAAAAGCTTAGCCAATTCCACTGTAGATACCAAGTGGCCCATTCCAGGCGATGGGACGAATACCAGCTCTGCCTTCTTCATCGTTTGCACAAAAAGTCATGTAACGGCGACGATGAGATAAATATGCTCTCTTGGTTTTCGGTTAAATGTAGTTTTCAAGGCAATAAATATAAGAGTTTGATGTCATTTCTTTGCTGGGTTTAATGGACGTTTGATTTGTACGCTATCCATCCATTAGCCTTGGAAATTGGAAATGTGAGACTTTTCAAGACTTAACCCATAAGTAAAAAAGAATCGTTTTTGGTGGGGAATAGGTCGCCAAAGTCAATGCAAGTCTAAGTGGGAGATTGTCTCTCTCCAAGTTTGCATTTTCTATTACTATGGCAAATTGTTTATTACTCCAAAGAATTAAAGTGGGATAGCTTAACTTTTAAAAAATTGAAAAAAGAGATCCCCCGTCTGCAGTGACGTCAAGTTCAAATTACAAAATTTAAACTTAAGCTTTGATTGCTTGTTGTGGCACAATAGTATAGGTATAGTCATTGAAGAAGGTGACCCTTGGGTAAATAACTAGATGCATGCGGCACTCCTGCATTTTGAACAAATTCATATAGAGACAAAGCTTTCAAATAGGAAACACTTCTTTACCCAATGAAAACTGGAAAGAAAAAGAAAACAGAACACGCCTTTCCTGCGCAGTGCTTTCCTTAACCAATGATTTGTAATCCGACCATAATAACAATAAAAAGACATGCTCTTGGATCTGTTGTTTAAACGTTTTAGCTATGCATATTAGTTCAAAATACTCCATTCATACTAAATTTTTACCAAGTATATATTCAATCTTTAGTCAACCTCCACAACGTCCACCTACATTTATTTTCATTATTGCGTAAAAAGAAATTAATTTCGAAATTATTATTGTAAATGCATATTTTAAAGGAAGTGTTAATTAATTTGAATATGATGTTTTGTGTCCCCACCATAGAAAACGGATAAAGAGCCACCAATGGAAGGATAGGAATCTGTAATTGTTAAAAGTCCTTTGGGACTTTGGCTCAACTTGCCATGTTTCCCATTGTATACGCACTCCGAGACGTGAAACGAACAATTTGATGTGACAGTATTATATGATAGTGATGTGATAACATAATAATATTATATGATATTAATATAATAATATTAATATGTGATTGATATATTGATATGTTATGTTAATATTAAATAATAATATTAATATAATTGATTAAGAAAAAATTTAAAAAAAATTATGTCATGTTATATGAATTAAATTGAATAAAAATATATAAGAGAAAGACTAAATTGAATAAATTTGAAGTGTTTAAGGACTAAATTGAAAAAATTACATGAAAAATATAAATCTTTAAATAAATAATACATATATTTATTAATAAGTCAAATGTTTAA